TGAAGTGGTTCTGGGGATTATAGTGTTTCTTTAATGTGAGGTAAATTAGAGCTTAGTGCCACGAATAATATACTAGATTGCCTACTTACAACCAGATGAGGATGATGATGGGTTCTAGCTGCAGTCTGGCTCCACTGGTCTGGTGTAGAACAGGCTCTCTGGAGGCTGTTTGTAACTGTGGTCACAAAAATCAATGTTCTGGGGGAACGTGGGAAGCAGCCTTATTTTTTTGGGGGTCCTACATTACAAGGTTCAGTCTCAGGGTTCACCTTCTTATGTTCCACTCAATGAGTTTGTTCACAGGGAGTGGGTGGATGTCTTGATATGTGTGTAAGTGAATGCAGTGAAATTGCTGTGTTTGTATGTGTAAGGCTGCAAGGTGTGTTTCGTATGTATGGGATGCATTGAATGTGTGTGGGTGTATTGTGTGTAATGAATTTTATTGTGTTTCTGTGTGTAAGGGATGCATTGTGTGTAACGGTTGCATTGCTTGAGTATGTGTGTCTGTGTGTGTAATGCATTGTGTGTTTTTCTGTGTGCAAGGGGTGCATTGTGTGTATGTGATGAATGTCAATCTCTCCTCCCGCTCCAATTTCCTTCTCCTCCTCCCAATTTCTCTTTCTCACCCCCCCTCCTAATTTAAATTTCTCACCCCCCTCCTAATTTCTCTCCCCCCCTCCTAATATCTCTCCCCCCTCCTAATTTCTCTTTCTCACCCTCTTTCTCTTCCCCTCCTCCTTTCTCTTCCCCCCTCCTCTCTCACCCTCCTCATTTCTCCTCTTTCTCACCCCCCTCATTTCTCCTCTCTCACCCCCCCATTTCTCCTCTTTCTCACCCCCTCCTTTTCTCTCTCACCCCCCTTTCTCTTTCTCACCTCCCTCATTTCTTTCTCCACCCCAGCTCCTCTCTCTTTCTCACCCCACCCCCTTTCTCACCCCACCCCACCCTGCTTTCTCTTTCTCACCCCCTCTTACCTCCCTACCTTTGTTGTAGCGTAGCCGAGCCCTGTATAGTCCACGGGTACAGGGAGCATCTGTTTCCTGTACCCGGCCGGACTAACAGGAAGTGCACACTGAGTGTGCACTTCCTGTTAGTCCGGCCAGGTACAGGAGACAGCTGCTCCCTGTACCCGCCGACTATACAGGGCTCGGCCACGCTACTACAGAGGGAGTAACAGGAGGGAGCACTGAGTGCTTCCCTCCTGTCAGCCCCTCTCCTCAGGCTGCGCCCGGGTGGTGCGGTCTGCCCTCATGGACGCACCGCCCGGGCAAAGCTGCAGCCGCCTGAGGCTCTCTACATAGCGCTCGGGCGGCTGCAGCATGGGGGGGGCGGGGGGGCTGGTCATGGCACCCCCCACCCTGGTGGCACCCGGGGCGGACCGCCCCCCCGCCCCCCCCTTAGTACGCCACTGGCTATATTCACACTGGGGATTGCTATACTTTGTATACTCCCCTGAGCTCTAATCACTTAGCTCTTTTAAGAGCTGTTCCTCATACTCTCTCCTGGTAGGGCTCTCTTTCCCATAAGCAATCCCTCCCCTACACAGCTAACTCCTACTCTGTTACTGGGGTTAGCAAAGGAGACGTTAACCCCCACAGTCTCCTCAGCAGAAGAGCTGGCATCTGGGCAGAGCGCAATTGGCGTCTGCCCTCCCCTTTCCCCGTGTCCAGAGCCTAGCTTCCTGCAGGTTACCTCAGGAGAAGAGCTTGCATCAGGGCAGAGCGCAGCTTGCCTCTGCCCACCAAGTACCCCCAGCTCCACGCCTAAGAACACCGGGGAGATCAAGGGTGCTTAACAACCACTTAGCAACTTGGGACATACAGACTAGAGCCGGACACCAGGAATCACCAGGTGCAGTAACAGTTTATTGTGGGTGGGCTACTCTGTTAACTGTTTATTGTGGGTGGGTTGCTCGACTAACTCAGGCACTGACCAACAGGAGGTCAGGTACCTGGTTAGTCTCCCCCCAAAAGGGAAGATGTGTGACAAATTGAACTTTGCCACTGGCTTTCGGAGAGGCCTGCTTGCCAACCTCTTACCCTGTTACTATAGCCCCTGGGGTGTATTGCCCTTTAAAAACTCTATTTGTGCCTATTGTATTTTGGAGCACTGTTTCTGACCCTTTAAATTGTACTGGTACAGTTCTGCACTTTTGAAGTGGCACTTCGGATGCAGCCGAAGTGCCGAAGTAGTCGAAGTGGCCGCCATTCGACATGCGAACACGTGGTGGCGGCCATTTTAATTCAGTCGACTGTGTTCAGCAGTGTTTGGTCGTCGAGTTCATGGAACTCAAATCGGATACACGACGGCATGAACACCCAGATCAGGGCTATCCAGGGATATAACATTTATAGGGCTATGTTGTATTTTGGGGTACTTTTTATGGTTTGTAAAAAAATTATGTTTTTTCTGCCTGTGGATAATTGTTATTCCATTAGCTAGCTTAATTATGTCACAGGCAGAGGGGAGGGCTTGCTGACTGTATGTGGGAGTGTTACTATGGTAATTATTGTTCCTATTGGTTTGGTGACTTTGTGTCCTGTGCTCCATAAAGACCACATGGATGGTAACCTTGTGGGGAAAATGTGTATAAAAGAAATGTCTTTGTGCTTGTGACGAGACCAATTTCGCCACATTGCATTGGAGAAGCCTGGTTGCTCGCCTGTTGCCTTTGGATTATGGCCCCATGTGAAAAGGCTTGATTTTCCCCTGCAAAGACATGAAAGCCTGGTCATTCGGTGCGTGCCCTGTTTGAGCGGTGATACCCCAGATAGCCATGCCATGGAGCCCATTCGTATAATGAAAGACTATGGGAAAGACTTTGGCTCCATGGCAATTGAACTGTATGTGTGTACTCTGAGCGCCATTCAGTAATAATGTGCGCTCATCTAAGCTATCTGGGGATATGTTGAATGTACCTGTTTTGTGCAATGACTGCACAGTTATATGTTTTTATGTGTTTTATTGTCTTTTGCTGCCATGTGTTCCTTCCCAATTATCTCCAGGATAGAAGACTCTGTGGAACTGGTTTTGGGCAGAAAAGCCATGCTTCATTTGGTCACAAAGGACTTCAATCTATCTTTTGAACCAATCAACCAATTTGGATGATTTTGACATATGTTTGTATTTGGAGTATGCTGATTCTGAAAATGTAAGTGAATGTATGTGAATGTGATGCATACTTTTCAAGTTATGAATAATGTGGAAAAACTGTATATCTCTGGCTGTTATAATTACATTACCCATTGTGTAAGGTAATTGTATCACAGGCAGAGGGGAGGGTTTTGTGTGGGAGTATCTGAGTGTATTGTACATTTTTATTGGTTGTTTTCCAAAACCCTGTGGGTTGTACTAATGTGTATATAAGAACAATAAACACACAGCTCTGACTGTTCACTGCTTGACCCTCAACACGGAGCTTTGTCTCGTTCTTGGGGGGATTTATTGTATGCTGTTCCAGTTTGACTGCTAGGAGTGTAAACCTATTCATATGGTTTTTCCTATTCGGCTGTTTACAGCATTCGTATCGTTTCCTGTTCGGCGGATTGGTGTTCTGCAATAACTGTGCCTGTGTCTCTGGAAGGGAAGATCTACTAAACGGCGTTTTAACCCTTTTATGCATGGGGGTGCCATTACAGTGCTCATTAAACTAGAGTTCTGCTTAACCATCAATATGTAGCCTTGTCTCGTTATTGTCGGGAACTGCTATATTCACACTGGGGATTGCTATACTTTGTATACTCCCCTGAGCTCTAATCACTTAGCTCTTTTAAGAGCTGTTCCTGATACGCTCCAGGGTGGAAGGAAGACGGTGAGACTCCAGTGAAGCTACGGCGGTTGTGGAGTCTGCGGTGGTTGTGGGGTCCGGTGTGGTGATTATGGTCCTCGACGTAAGCTAGGAAGCGTCTGTCAACGGGGGTGCCCAGTCGGGGTTCCAGGTGATCCGTTACAAGTGGGGTTTGTTTGTTATCTAGTTTAGTGTTGCCTTAGTGGTAAGGGTAAAAAAAAAAAAAGTTACTTGCGCACTCTCCAAAATCCCTATGCATATTTAAATAACTGGAGGTTTTTTGTATCACTTAACCCTTGACAGGGAACACATGTGGTGGGCAACAGCACTGTAACATTGCTATGTGATAAAAAAGCTTTTATATTACACAGCCATGTTACAATGCTTCTGCCCAGGCAAGGGAGTTTACATTTAATGGCCACTGGAGTGGTACTAATAATCTCCAGTTTTGTAAATATGCATAGAGATTTGGATAGCGCGCAAGTAACTATTTTCTTTGTTTTTTATTATATGTATTAGGACTGATGTGTACTATGGTCATTGCTGCCACCCAGGAGTAGTGGGAGTCTGAGCGCTGGACTTATTTTTGTGTATTTGTATTGCCTTAATAGTAAGGGTGACTACTTGTAAGTATATGTAATAAAAATACTGTATATAGCTGTGTGGCGGCTGGCTAGAAAGCTCTGGCCATCCGTCACATAATTAACCCTTACTTTACTGGGACAGTAGTGGATGCATGGAATAGCCTTCCAGCTGAAGTGGTAGAGGTTAACACAGTAAAGGAGTTTAAGCATGCATGGGATAGGTATAAGGCTATCCTAGCTATAAGATAAGGACAGGGACTAATGAAAGTACTTAGAAAATTGGGCAGACTAGATGGGCCGAATGGTTCTTATCTGCCGTCACATTCTATGTTTCTATGTTTCTATGTAATTGAGTGAAACAGTATACAAGATTCATTATGAGTGTTGGGGGTTTAAAATGGTGAAAATTAAGCTTTTCCATCTGATCGCTTTGTAGCAAACATATCTTATACTTCCCTACTCACAGACATTACTAGAGGCATGTAGTTTACATTAGGTAGGGTGTGTATATATCTAACATGGGTAACACTGTGATCAAGGTGCTCATTATGGCAGTATACCACCCGATCCTGCTTCGTCCTCATCAGAGCATGGTATATGAATCTAGGATAGTTTGTGGTGAACTGAAGTCACGGGCCAGTGTGCTGGCAGGTCAGACAGTCTTCCGACTCCCCTACGAGGGCCATGTCGTATAGTTGAGCCAAGTCCACTTTGGGGAACAGTGCAGCGATGTGAAGTCGGGGTGCCCCTCTAGCCCCAGAATTGTGGTCCAGGGTCTTCCCATGTGGGATAGTATGGTGCAAATACTTTCTTTTGCACCCTGTGGCCCTCTGTGAGTGTGGCCGGTACCTTCGGGTTGAGACCCACTTTACTCTCAGCCCAGGTGGGCAACATGTGCGTGTGGCTGAAGCTAGGATCAGTTTTGTGTCGAGTTGAGGTAGCTGCAGGCTGTATGTAGCTGGGTCTGGTGCATCTGCCATCTTGGATACCTCCATCTCCGTTCAGCTTAGGAGTACAGCAAGGTTCGCCGAGAGGTATGAGTCTGTCAGCTCAGATCATCGGGGACCAGGATATCCCTCATCGGTCCACATGGGGGAGTGAGTGATGTTCGAGTGTGGCTTGTGTCTGCAGAGGGAAAGCGCCGGCCTTTCCCCCTCGCCATCTCTGGAAGGCCACAATCTGCTGCCCCGGTTCTTGGGCACTCAGAGCTTCGGTACTGGTATCTTAAGTTGTGTACGGGATTCCCCAGCTTATAGGTCTCTGTAGTTTGTAGTTTCCAGCACTTCAGCCCGATCAATCTCCTTTTGTTTCACTATACCGCAGGAGCTCATGCGAGACACGTCCTGCCAGCTCGCAGGTCAGGCTTCGCCCCCTATATTACACTTTTTATATGCTTACTTTTATAGACACAATGAGTATTATATTTGATGGTTTTCTTTAAATCATATTGTTTTTAATGTTACTATATGCAGTTTTGCTTTATCCTTATATTTTGTATTTATTGATCTTGGTGGTAGCTCTGCCATATTAGCGTATGCTTATGATGCAGTATGACTCCATGGTTCATTAGTTTGTATGCAAAACTATTTTAATCATATCAATACACGTTTAAATATTATACCATTATTTACATATCACGCTATTATGATTCTTCTTATGTCTGTTGATTAATGATAAAGAGGAACTGGCACTACTGACTAATCCTGGACACTGTTCAAGCATTAATTCCTGCCAAAGTGATTAGATGCACTTTGCAGAAACACAGATTGAGACATGATACCTCTCGGCGAACCTTGATGTACACCTATGGATGTCTCAACATAAGATATGTAGAAAAATTTCCGCAGAGATAGCCCTCTGGCATTGGATTGTTGTGAGAAGCTGTCACAGCGTGTTGATGCCTGTTATCCCATGCTGCAAGTCTGCATCTGGTCTCTGTACTTTTAATACAAGATCAGAATGTACCAGGCACCTGATGGCTGCCCTACTAGTTCGACACCAGCAACAGTGACAGAATGCTTCTTAGGCTATGTGACAGTCATGAGAGCCAATCACAGTAATAACTTTCCTTGGCTATGATCATAGTGATCGGTTCTCACAGCAATCATTCAGCCTCTGAGCCAAACAGAAAACCAAAACAGTGCATTGATAGGGTAGGATTAGTAAAGGTTAGGGTTTTCAAGGGTTAGGGTAAGCTAGGGTTAGATATGATTATGGTTAAAGAAGGTTGGCGTGGGGTGGAAACAGTGTCACAGTGTTACACTGGTCAGTATTATAAAAGAGAAAGAATCATTTCAAGAAATAGCTTGTCTGGAATGCAAGCAAAGAGGCATGTCAAAATCCAGCATTATGCATAGGGCTATCAGATGAATTAGGCAATGAAGAATCCTGCCGATTATGCATTATACATATTGCAGGGAAATCCTTTCCATGTGTTTTTATAAATATGACAAAATTATATGTATCCCTGAAAACATGGTGGGTCTAGTTCTATTTATGAATGTCTTCAATTTGATCTTACAAGTCCACCAAAAATCTAAAAAATGTGTGCATCCGGGGTACTGCTGACTTGCAAAAGAATACAGGTGTGGAACCACTTTTGCAACATATTTGAGTTGAATCCGTAAAATGTTAGAAGTTTAGATATTGAAATATCTGTATGTTTACCCTATAGCGTCTCAAAAATCTGTTCAAAGTCTATATGGTAGCACTGCTCTTTTCAAGGGCAGTAACAGAATACAAACATGATGTTTTTTCAGTAGTGATACACTCCTGGTCTGTGGCATACGCTACAAAAATGAAATGTTTGCAGGAAAGAAACAAGAAATGAACTATAAACAGCAGGTCTGGCAGAGATTACTCATAACATTGTTAAATTAAAAGTGTCAGATTGCTTTTAAATAAATACCATTGAGGGTTTACTTTCAACAAATGTATACTTTTTGAATTCTGTGGTTGCTTTCAAAGTTATACACTCAACAGAACAGATTTTGAAAATGTTTAGCTTTAAAACCATAATTTACCCCTTGCAATATTTGTCATATAACTTCCCCAAATAAATGAAAATACCAGACATATTGGGCATTTTAAGGATCAATACGAATACATAAATACATCTATCTTTAATTATTTTCTTTTGTTGCATGAATTGGGGTAGCAGTTCAACTTATTATAGGAAAAACAGTGAAAACATTGTTTTTCTCAATTGTGTTAATGATATTTGCACTTAATGTTGTACTAGGTAGGCATAAAGGGTATTAGAAGAGAGCCCTATCAGTACTTTAAAAATGATACATTGTATATATCGGTTAAACTAGAGAGAAACACGTAAGTAAGATTCTTTTCTTTCAGGAAGTGTTCCAGAGGATTGGAGGAAGGCAGATGTGGTTCCTATATTCAAAAAGGGTTCAAAATCCTTGCCTGGAAATTATAGACCTGTGAGCTTAACTTCTGCGGCTGGTAAAATATTTGAAAGGTTATTAAGGAATAATATTCAAGAATTCCTTCAGAAGAACATGGTTATCAGCAAAAATCAGCACGGTTTTATGAAGCACAGGTCATGTCAAACTAACTTAATTGCGTTCTACGAAGAAGTAAGTAGAAGTATAGATCAGGGTGTTGCCATGGATGTGATCTATTTGGATTTTGCCAAGGCATTTGATACAGTTCCACACAATAGATTAGTGTTCAAACTCAAGGAAATTGGTCTAGATGAAAATGCTTGTTCTTGGGTAGAACATTGGCTTAAAAACAGAGTACAAAGAGTTGTCATTAATGGTACATTTTCAAGCTGGACAGAGGTGGCAAGTGGTGTCCCTCAGGGGTCTGTTCTGGGACCCCTTCTATTTAACATGTTTATAAATGATCTTGAAGACAGCATTGAAAGTCATGTTTCAGTGTTTGCAGATGACACAAAACTTTGTAAAATAATACAATGTGAGCAAGATATTACTTTGCTGCAGAGGAATTTAGATAGACTGGGGGATTGGGCACTCAAATGACAGATGAAATTTAATGTTGAAAAATGCAAAGTTATGCACTTCGGCGTAAAGAATACACAAGCAACGTATAACCTTAATGGAAGCGAATTAGGGATAATAACACATGAAAAGGACTTGGGAATTGTTATAGACAACAAACTATGCAACAATGTGCAATGTCAATCAGCAGTGGCCAAGGCCAGTAAGGTGTTGTCATGCATGTAAAAGGGCATTCATTCTTGGGACGAGAATATCATTTTGCCTCTTTATAAATCACTGGTAAGACCCCATATTGAATATGCTGTGCAATTTTGGGCACCTGTTCTAAAGAAGGATATTATGGCACTAGAAAAAGTGCAGTGGCGGGCTACAATATTAATAAAAGGAAATGAACATATCAGCTATGAAGAAAGGTTAACAAATTTAAACCTATTTAGTTTAGAAAAAGGTTGCCTGAGAGGGGATATCATAACATTATACAAATATATTCGGGGCCAATACAAACCATTGTGTGGAAATCTATTCACAAACCGGACTCTACATAGGACACTGTCAGGATCGTGACAGGGATCCAACACGCAGAATACAAACAGGAGATAGGTACGTATACCGGACCTTAGAATGGCCGGACTAACGTAAGGAGAAAGCAAAAGAATGGTCAGAGACAAGCCGAGGTCGAGGGAACGAGAGATCAGGTAAGCGAGAGACAAGCCGAGTCAAAAGGACAAGAGAGGAAAGCAGGGTCAAAATACAAGCCGAGTCAGGAACCAAAAGACAATAGAGGTAATTGCACTGAGTGACCAGACTAGCTAGAACCACGACAGGGCAATGAATCATTCCACAGAACCCTTTTTTATACCTTGGCTCTTTAACTGTTGGCTCCGCCCCCAACGGGTCCTGATTCGTTGTTCGGCACTTGGTTGCCGTGATTGACGGGTCGGAACGTGATTGCCGTCATGACGTCGGCTACTGAGCGCCGCGTCATAAAAGGAGGCGGAGCTATCGCGGCCGGCGTGTAAACGACCGGGAGGAGTGCAAGGATCGGGTGAGTCAGCCCCCCTGGGAGGATGGACGTCTAGGTGTCTAACCTCCTCCGAGGTAGACACCAAAGGTAACCTGACAGTACCCCCCCTCTCAGAAACGCCCACCGGGCGGAAGGAACCGGGGCGAGACGGAAAACGAGCATGAAATGCCCGGAGGAGACGAGGGGCATGCACATTTTCATGGACCACCCAAGACCTTTCTTCAGGCCCATACCCCTTCCAGTCAACAAGATATTGCAACCTCCCCCGAGAAATACGAGAATCGAGAATGGATTTGATTTCATATTCCTCCTGACCCTCAACCTGGACAGCGAGAGGGGAGGACTCAGCGGAGGAAAATCTGTTGCAAACCAAAGGCTTCAACAAAGAAACATGAAAAGAGTTAGGGATGCGCAGGGCAGGCGGAAGGGCAAGACGATATGCAACCGGGTTAATCCGACACAGAACCTTGTAAGGGCCTATGTAACGAGGGGCAAATTTCATGGAAGGAACCTTCAAGCGGATGTTTCTGGTACTCAACCACACCCTATCACCCGGGGCAAAAACCGGAGCCACCCGTCTCCGTTTGTCAGCGTGTCGTTTGAACACCATGGAATTCTGAAGAAGAATTCGTCGAGTCTGATCCCACAACTTTCTCAGATTGGCGACATGAACATCAACCGACGGAACCCCTTGGGAAGGGGAAACCGACGGAAGAATGGAAGGATGAAAGCCATAATTCAAGAAAAAGGGGCTAGAACGAGTAGAATCACAAACGAGATTGTTGTGTGCAAACTCTGCCCAAGGAATCAGACCAACCCAATCGTCCTGGTGTTCAGAAACAAAACAACGCAAATATTGTTCAATCTTTTGGTTGGTGCGTTCGGCAGCTCCGTTGGACTGGGGATGATAGGCAGATGAGAAATTCAACTTGATGCCTAAGTGAGAACAGAAAGACTTCCAAAAGCGGGAAACAAATTGGGAACCTCTATCAGAAACAATTTCAGAGGGAATACCATGTAAACGAAAAATCTCCCTCGCGAATATCTCAGCTAATTCGGGAGACGAGGGCAGTTTAGGCAAGGGCACGAAATGAGCCATTTTAGTAAACCTGTCAATCACCGTGAGAATAACAGTATGTTTTTTAGAAACAGGCAAATCGACAATGAAGTCCATAGCCAAACACGACCATGGTCTCTCGGGAA